TTTAAATGTCAAAGCTCTGAGCTCATGAGCCGCTTCTGCAGCCAACAACGGTGGATCCGAGCCTGGGGGCTTCACATTTCCTCCACTGGTTTTTTTAATGATAAGATAGCACAGTAACGCTGTGGGTGATGTGTGCTCGAATTCCTTCGAGGTCGAAACTTATTCATAACGTTCTTGTGGGAAACAAAAGCTGGTGGCAAGAGGACGCGTCTGCCGATGTCTCTTTCCTGTTATGTCGCTTACAACACTGCAGCGCCGCAAAGTAGAGTTCCGTGTACTTCTGCCACTGACAGGCTCCTTGCAAACTCGGAACTCAGTCTTCTAACGGCTAAACGCGCATTAATTGCCGCGCACTGCCTCTATGAAACACTTTCCTTTACAAAGCATTTTAACTTCCAAGGTTGGTTCAACAAAAAACACGGAAACTAACGTAGTGGTCCACAACCGCGTTCATCATTTACAGCCTTTTGGTGTTGATGAAATTCTGATACAATCATTGCAAATCACCGAAGAGTTGGAGATGCCTGGACGATTTACTTCTGAATGCTTGAAACAAGGAAAGAATACTGGCTTCATAAGCAGGTGAGCATGCTACTTATCTTCAAAATATATTTGGTTGCTAAGTGAGAGAGGGGTTCCCCGTTTCTCCCCTCCCCCCTCTTGCTCGATGAAAAAAAATTGAAGGAGTTCTTAAATAAATCACAGATGACGAGCAGTAAACTTCGAAGCTCCGCTAACACTTCTTATATGTCGGAGTAGTCGCTGTGAACACCGAACTGGTGTGACATGCAGTGTAGGCCATATAAGGCAGATTCTATATCCAGCACAGTAGAGAATCTGAAAGAGCTGCCAAGTGCTGGCAGTAGTAGTTCGTCATTGATAGCAGCGAAAGAAGTAACAGGACAGAAGAAACTTTGTCCATGGAAGCGAGTTAGCAGGTGATCATCAGCTTCAGAGAATGTCGAGTTAACACTTTTGTCAAAGGTGTTTCTGAACCTTTTCTGACCATCTGAAACGCCTGCGGCGCGGAGCCTTCAGTCAAATGATGAAAGGTCACCGCTCGCCATTATGAGGACATCCGGCCATTATTCACCAGACCTTAACAGGTGCGATTTAGTAAGTCTGCTAGCTCACATCGCCACCACGATGGTGGAGAGATAAATTAAAAACGAGAGATCGTATACGAGAGTCACTATAGAGCGGAAAGGCGAAGTCCGGCGAAGCGGAGGGGTAACTGGCATATTTGCTATTTCCCACAGGCGTCTATATGGAGACCTTGTGGGTTCTTGTAGAGCTACGAATGATACGAGCTAGAGCTTTTAGAGACCAGCTGTCAACTCTTGTGAAGGGCCTCTACTCCAAAGAATTTCCAAGAGGTGAGAACATTCCTGCCGTGGGAGTTAGGAGCTCTATGCACTCGTCCTGCACTATCGAGCTAAACCATGTGATTTGCTACTTTCGGCGGGTTCTTGCGCACAACGTTCCCGCGCAAATTGGCGCGTTAATGGTGGGCTTGAGAACGTCGAAGGATCTTCGCTATAATTAAAATCTCTTTCTCGTGATTCTAAACATACCTCTTCGAAAGATCGATAGTGCTCCGCAGTGAAGTAGTTCTGTACTAACTCCTTCTTTTCAACTCTTTTTATTTCGCTGTCTTTTTTGTGGTTTCTTCCTTCCTACTAGGCCTGTTGCAGTAGTGCAATTTGAATTCCATGCCTTCCCTGCTAAGATGACAAAATGTATACCACGGAAAGTCAAAGTTTTGTAGGCAGCATTACGTTCTCCATCACTCGGAGGGGGTTACATCCGAAGACGTACATGAAACCCTCGGACAAACTAATACAAACTTCAGTGTTCCACGAAATGGCGACAGTCGCCCACTTTGCAGAGGTTCATCAAGAGCTCGAATATAGCCGGCAACTTCTGCTTACGAATTGGCGAAGTTAGGCCTCTTAGCCACGATAGCTTCGCTTATTGATCGTTGTTCTGCATACTTATTGCTGCTGCTACACCTGAAGTAGTACCACGCTGCTCATTTTGTGACCTTCGAGTACAGGAACGTATCGAGGTTTTTTAGCAGATTTCCCAACTTCTCGGGTTAAGTGAAGAATGAGGGGACTTTGTCATGGCTACAGCATTTATACGTGCGAACTTAGGGTAGATGAGAAATAGCGATAATAGCAAGTGGAACTTATTTGAATAATATCTGTTTGATGGCTTCAGTTTTTTGCATATATTCTCTGCACAGAAACTTTATGATTTGCAGAATGTCGCACTGGAATTATGGCAGGAAAAGAACTTTGCCGATCTCGATATGTTCGTCGATCAATCTGTGTTCTTGGGATAGAAGACTTTAAACTGCTTTCAGAATATCCAACAATAATGGCAAATAAGGTACGATTTAATGTCTCAAGCATGCGCATGAAAGGAAAGCGTCTAAAAAATGCAGGCTTTAATGTGCGGAGACGACTAATGTCCCTACTAGCGGGCTACTGATATGGGTGGGAAACGAATATGGAATAGTTGTTTGCAAACTACTTTTTGCTCTACTGATACTAAACTTGTAATTAAATAATTAAATATGACTGGTTGCGAAGGGGAAGGGAAGGCAGGGAAAGCCGAGTGGTTAAGAGTGTAGACTCACGTTCACACCCTGAGCCACGAGTTCA